ACTGGATCATATCCTACCTGTTCATTCAACAAATTCTACAATTAGTTCTTGTAATCAAAGCGGTGAGTTTGTTTGGAAAAATAGTTATTTAAAGTGGCCTTTAAAGGTTAATATTTGCTTATGCATGTGTGTGCATGGTGCCTAGGAGGTCAGAATAGAGTGTTGGGTCCCCTACAGTTAGAGTTGTGGGCTGCAGAACCTGGGGACTGGTCCTCTGCAAGAGTAGCAAGCATTTTTAACCTGCACCATCTCCCAGTTCCCAGGCTGTTTCTCTTCATTCTTTTTTAACTGCTATTTTAAATATTTTAGGGGCATGATAAAAACCAATGTATTCTTTTGACATTTTCATTCATTGGTGTGCCTGTGGTTGGCTTCTCCCCCTACGCTATTCCATCCTTCTTCCTGCCTCATCCTCGTTCCTTTCTTCTCTGCTAGTGGGACAGAATTCTCAGAAGAAATACAAGTTCATCAATACTTTTAAGTGTTCAACATCATTAACCAACAAGCAAATACAAATGAAAACACCACTGAGATCCCACCTCACTCGATATTTCTCTTCCTTGAGGGCCTGGTAGATTCTGACAGAGTCCTGGCCTCTTTATTGAGAGACCATGGCAGCTTCCATCTTGCCGCTCATCACAGATCCTGTTTAAATTCTTTGGAGTCTCTTGATTTAATTTTGGTAGGTCATGTGTGTCTAGGAATTTACCCATCTCTTTTACATTTCCCAGATTTTTAGAATCAGTCTTCAAATATTCTCTAACTATTCAAAGGATTTTATTGGTATAAGTTGTAACAACCCTTCTTTATTTCTAGTGTCATTCATTTGGATCTTGCTTCCCTTTCTTTTGGTTAGTTTGTCTAAGGGTTTATGGTTTTAATTATTTCCCCATTGAACTGATGGCTCTATTGAGTTTTCGCAGCGTTCTTTTACTAGTAACTTCACTGATTTCTATTCTGATCTTCATTATTTCCTTCTACCTACTAATTTTGGTTTGACTTACTCCATTTTTCTTAACAACATTGAGATATATCCTGTTACATATTTGAACAAAGTTGGTTCCACTTTTATTCTAATATTTTGGTTTTGTGGTTGACACCAAAGCTACCCTAAACTACACTTTTGGTAAGTGAGTTGGGAAGTAATCGTCACAGTTTTATCTTACGTCGTCTTTCTTCCTCTCCTGCCTTACGATTTTAGTTGTACATAGCCTTATGTACAGTGATGGTCCTATGAAACAGCCATCGCATGGACGTAAGGGTCCCTGCACAGGAGGAAATGCAGGGGGAAACGCTTTGATGCAAAACCATGCCTCAAGATCTTTCTGGGTGATTTGATTTTGATTCCATGGAGTCTCTGAAGCTGCTAGCTCTTGGGCCACTTTATGACTCATGAGTGTAGTGATGCAAAAATAGCTCATATTGACATGAAATAGCATTCCTGGAACTTCAATGGACTTCTCTTCCCAACTTACAAAGGCCATTGCTGCTTCAGGTTACATAATTGTGTCACTCCCCCAATCCATAAACGTGTCCTTCCTTTGATTGGCCTAGGATTTACCTCAGCATCTTAATCATGGCTACCTTAATCCTGAGTTCAAGAAAATCTGTTTATTTCTATCTGAGAGTCATCATTTTACTTCTCATCAAAAGTTTTTTTTTTTTTTGGCAATAAACCACAATGGCATTTGTGCTGGTCACATAATAAAGCAAAACACCTAACCAACTCCACTTCTTGTGTGTTTCAAGGGTGGCTGAGGGGTCACGTGCTAGCAATAAAAGGCAGGGTGAACACAATCCTCTCGAAAGTTGTCTGTGACTTAATCTTGAGAAGGTGGTAAGGAATCAGCATCTATGGTAGCATCCTATTTACAGAAAGGAAAAGACTGCGTGCGCATGTTCATGGTTTTGGTGATCGCAAATAGACTGAGAACACAGTTACTTATGATGACTGGCATTGTTGACAGGCAAGATCATTAAGTCAGGCAACTGTTACAAGCTATTTCCATATTCAGAACTTCTTAGGACAGATGCACAGACAGATACCACACAGAATGGAGCGGCTCTATGTGCACACCCTACACCTCCTTCCTGGCACTGGAGCTTGCTGTGGTCTTAATATTTCCCTTTATGTATATGTACTATAACATATGATGCCATGATCATTTTTAACTTTAAAATGAAGGCTGCTTATTTTAAAGGTGTAAAATTATATGACAGATTGAAGATTTTTTTGAAAAAGAAAGTTCTTCCTAGGAGACTTTTATAATTTAGATATACAGCCACATATAAAATATATAATACCCCTATATGTAGTTAAATATATATGTATACACATATATATATCTGTGTTACAAAGAGCAGATACAAAAAGCACACACACACACACACACACACACACACACACACACACGGTCTTTAAGCTGTGTCCTAAAAAGCAAAAGAACTTTCTTGACTAGATATGGTGGTGGTGCACTCTTGTAACCCCAGCATTTAGGAGGCTGAGACAGGAGACTGAGAGTGCCAGGCCTGTCTGGCCTGCATAGCGAGTTCAAGGCCAGCCTGTAACACAGAATGAGACCGTGCCTCCGTGAAGTAAGTCTAAACCAAACAACTTTGCTGAGAGACACAGAAGTCTGAGAGAAATGACACAACACACTTTGTATTTGGTTAAGAGACCTTTAAAAGTTACCCAGGATTCTCACAGTTCAGTTGTTGGGACACTCTGGTTCTGGTACTGGAACACAGAGAGAAAGGATGTGGTGGCTACAGCTGCCCCAGTACACACAAGAACTTCGTGCATGAAAACACATGCCCTTACAAAGTCATAGAGCAAAACTACACCATCAAAGAAATGATACAGGAATAACCCACTCGCTGACCGAGGGGGAAACATAACCAACTATTTTACTGTGCATAGTAAATTAAATTCCAGGGGATTCAAAGCCCTGTGTTGTTGCCCAGTTGATGAAGAAAGCACTGGAGAAGCCAGTGAAAGCAAGGAGCCCATCAGCTGGGTTCTTTGTATAACCTGAAACACAGAAGATGAACCAGAAGACTCTTTTCTAACTTCTACCAGTTCTACAAAATGGAAACAATTCTAGACATTTTAAAACAAAAGTTAAGTCATTACATACAATAGGTGTCTAGGGAATCAGGGTTTAACTTTCTTAGGAAACCCTCAGAAAGCAAGTAACAAACATCAAAAGCAGTTTCCATATGTACAAGTAGCATCCCCAACATTCTCAAGAACGAGTGGAAAGATGGCTACACCAACCCACAGATAACTCAGGCTACAGAGAAAGGAAGAAAATGGAAGCTTTCAATAAGCTCAAAACTTTCATCTCTCTCTAGAAATAAAGGAGAATTTAAAGATGAGTAGTAGCAACATCACTCTCAATTGTCAAAAAAAATGGTATACACAAAAACAAAAGCCCACCATGGATGTGCTGAAACTAATACTTTTGATGGACTGAGAACTAGTGGGGTCATCCCTCAACATCTGTGTGGGATTGGTTCTAGGCCCTTCTCCAGAGACCCAACTACAAGAATACTCAAGTATTTGCGTGATATTTGCATAATCTATACACATCTCCTCATGTGCATTTGTGTCATATCTGACCTGCAGGCCAAGGACCGCAAGAGTCCCTGGACAACTATGGATGCCTCCCAGCACATTTGTGGGAACATCTTCTCACCAATACCCCATATCCCTCTATATTCTTTCTAAGACCTAATACCATGGAGTACTATGTAAATTGTTGCTAGACTGAATTGCTAGTAATGACAATAAAAATCTGTACATATTCAGAATACATGTAACTATTTGAGACTGTTTTTGGATTTGTTTTTTTTTAGACAAGGACTCCCAGCCTGGCATGGGACTCACTGTGCAGTTCAGTCTGCCGTTCAACTGGAGACCCTCCCAAATACTCAAATTATAATCATGACCCGCCATGTCTGACAGAGAGTACTTTTGATTTGTAACTGGTGGAAGCGCCAGCCGCAGAACTCGAGTGTCTAGAGAATAGCTTCAGAGTCTTTCCTAAAGTTTGTCTGCCATAATGAGATGATTATCTAGATGCATCCCACAAGAATTTTGACTGCAGGCGTTTCTGATAGATAAGAAAATATACAAGCACTGTGGTTATCCTTCTGTGGAGGCCTGTTTTCTAAAGGCCCTTCCATGATCCCACCAATAACTGAGTTGCACACAAAATGAATCTAAGTCACATAAAACAGAAATGGTAGCACCAACCAGGCTCTGTTGTGTTTCTGTGGGGGAAGGGGCCGAGACCAAGGCTCTTCAGAAAAATACTTTCCTGGGAATGACCTGTTATGAGCCTCGGATGGCCTGTCTGTGAGCCAGCTGGCCTCAGGTCACGAGGTTCCTTTGTTACAAGCAAAGTTTGTTTCAACCCATGGCTGACTTCAAAGTTAAGCTAAGGCAGCTGCTGCGGACTCCTGCAGACCGAGCTTGTCACGTCGCATGTGCTCTGCGTCAGGTCAGGCCTTCCTTGGTTTGCAGATTAGCAAAGGCGCTTTGGAGAGGAGAAGGACTGAAGGGAGGATGGTAAGTCACACACACACATAGGACCACAAGCCGCGTGTCGCTGAAATGGAGAAGACATCAGGAGAGGACTCCAGAGTGCCTGTGGAGATCCCCCTTTAGTTCAGCTTCTCCCACCGGGATCTCAAGGAGCGAAGCTTCAAGTTCTCTTTGGTCATCACTGGCCAGCAGCATCCTCTGGTCCCATCCACACTGCTGCCCTCCTACCGCCTCTACTGGAGCTTTTGAGCGCACATCTCCTACCAGTTAACGCCTCAGTCTCTCAGCTCCTTCCCCTTTTGACAGTTCATCAAGATCCCCCACCCTTTCCCATGTCCAATCCTGAACTGCCCCTCACTGTGTTTCTAACGTCCCCTTTAGGATGAAAAGGGAGCCCCCAATTTTCTTGTGTTTCACAAGGGTTGTAGATAGAGGGTGACCTTGTCACCACTTAGTTCCAGGACTTTGGTGTCTCAAGGCTGAGGGGGAACATGGGTGGGGGTGGGGGACAGGGCAGATGGCCAGCAGGGGTTGGGTGCAAGGTGGGGTACCAGTCCTCAGGCTGGGGAGGGAGAGGCAATGAGGCACCAGTGGAGGGTTGGGTGGGGAGCGTGTGATTGTAAGGGTGAGGGAAGCAGGGTACTGGTGGAGCTGGTGTTGTATAGGAGTAGGGATAAGCAGGGGACTCTGGCAGGAAGCCAGAGAAGGTGGCCGGGGGTAGGTGAGCTAGCGGCTGGAGCAGCGACCGCTCTTGCTTCCGTTGCTTAGCTCTGCGGTTCTGGAACCAGACCTGCAGAGAGGGAAGAGAAGTCACCTGAGGGCTCCTGTTCTGAATGGGTGGCACTGTCACAGGCCTCTGAGGACAGGAAGTCAGCACCTGCTGCATCTCTAGGGAAAGGGCAGTTCTTCCAGAGACTGCAGCTGAGGCAGGATCCTCACGCCGACTCCCAAACTGCATCTCCCAACTTTGACAACTTTGAATAGAAAACGGCAACTTTCGACAAGAAAGATAAATTTGACACCATGGCAGTTTTCTTCCCCAGAGAGTAGGAAAGTGTCCTTAGAGTGAGGCTGAGGGATGAAAACTGGGGAATTATTAATGGTGTACGCGGGGTTGGGGCTAAGAAAGGGTTTGTAGTTCAGGCTATCCAACCCTATGCTGGAGACATCAGGGAAATGTAAGACTGTGCTCAGAAGTAAGACAGTACACATGTGAACAGTTTGGGTTGTCTGTCTGTTGCAGTTTGTGTCCATACGAAAGGCTGGGGAGTGAGTCTTGATTTTCTTTCTGTTTGTGTGGTGTTGGGGATCAGACCACAGGCTTTGTGTATGCTGGACAAGAGCTACCCCTCTCCAGCCCTACATCCAGCACCCATCAACATCCACCTAAATGAGCTTAGAGCGGGGGTCAGGTGCACCCAAGGTCATGTTAACTGGTAGATGAAGCCTATATTCTGTTAAATTTTTAAGTTAGGGTCAAAAGTCCCATGATTATGCCCAGACAGAGCCCCCAGGAAATGTTTGGTTCTCCCCCAAATACATTAGTGCATCATCACCTGGATTCGGGCTTCACTGAGGCCAGTGTCTTGGGCAAGCCCCTCTCGAGCCCAGATGTCAGGGTACTGGTTCCTCTCAAAGGCTGACTCCAGCTGTTCCAGCTGTGCTGGGTTGAAGGTGGTGCGATGGCGGCGCCGGGAGTGGGGACGGCTCCTCTGTGGGCAAAGTTTAGGTCTCCCCAGCCCCGGGCCAGAGAGTCTCCTAAAAGCCTCAGGGCCCGTGTCTGTGGAGGGAGGGAAATGAAGGGAGACCCACTTCATAATGGGACCACCCAGCCGTTCTGCTTAGTTCCTGAGATGTTACTTCCTGTGGGGTTTCCACAAGAACTCTTTAAGATTTCAAAACCACTGTTTCTGCCTCCAGCGTCTGCCACTACTTTGGTTACACACCTCCGGTATGTGTTTCACCTCCGGGGCCCACATAGGACTCACAGGGCACACCTCGGGGGTATTCTCTTTGCTGCCTACCAAGGACTTCTTTGCTTGCCGCTCACAGTTTTCATTGCCCATGCACCTCCTTCATCTCACCCACCCCTGCTCAGGAGGATGGAGGGTCCTCCCCCGCCCGTTATACAGAGACAACGCATTCTCCCTTCCCGTTTGTACTTCTTGATGTGTCTCTTGCCTCTGCCCTGGCCCTGCCACCATCCTGCAGGAACTTGAGCTCGTGGGAAAGGCTTGCCTCTCCTCCCCAAAGGTTCCCTGAGCTCTCATATTAATTAGTCTAAGAGCCACAGGGGCGGGAGGGGGGGAGAGGGAGGGAAGAAGAGACACCTGGGAAGATAGGCACTGAGGGAAGGAGGGGTCTAGAGTACAGAGACCCATCCCAGGGGGAAACCAAGGGTGTGGCTCCCACTCTGTATCCAGAGTCTTCAGAACTGCGCCCCCTGGAGGAAAACCCCCGATTCCTTCAGCTCTCTCCTTGCGCAAAGAACAAGACTCGGACTTTGCCTTTGCCTTAAGTGCCCGTTCCATAGCTCCCTCAGATAAGGCCTCGCTTCCCACCCTGCAAAGCAAAGGACTTCCGCTGTCTCGTTTCCTGAGGTCCTCAAAGCCTTGGCAAGCTCCAGTTCTGCTTTCCGTCTCTCAACCGTCCGTGGGACAAACCATTGCCCCAAAGCCGAGCAGGTTTTGGGATCCATATCTGCTGCTCCTCCAAGGGACCCAAGCCAACCCTGGGGATTCACTCACCGACTGTGGAGATCAGGGTCCCAGAGGTCACATGTGGTTCAGGCAGGGGTCGACCACAAGCACGGCCCTTCCTTTGCTTTTCCTGCTGGTTCCTTCTTGGAGCTTCCATAGCTAGCCACGCAAACCAAAGATGGGCTAGCCTGCTGTCCTCCAGTCTCTGACTCCCTGTAGGCTTTCTCTGTGTCTGTCTATCCTGTCTTGTCTTCTGACCTTTCGTTCCCCTGTTTATACCTTTATACCGTCTAGCTTTTTCTGAGCCTCTCTTGCTATGTGTGTGTGTGTGTGTGTGTGTGTGCCTGCGAGCGTGCGTAGCTAGATACCAGTCCACTCACTATTTTCTAATCCCCGCCCCTTCCTCTGGATCGACATCTCCTCCTCCTCTCTCGACTTTGCCCAGTTTTCTGCCTGTCTCTACTTCCTTCTCCCTGACCCTGTTCTGTTTTCTCTTAGCCCTCTGCTTTCTCACGCTACCTGTCTTTCTCCCTTAGTCTTGGAGAAGCAACCTCCTCCTGGCCCCATGAGCCTGTCCAATCATGTCTTGGTGACCAGAGCCCCTGGCTTGGGGGGAGGATCACAAGCTGGAGGAGGGAAGGTGCTCCGTTAGAGGGTCCAGGGGCTGAGGCCAAGAGCTCATATTCCCAGGGGACCAGATTCTTTTGTCCTGTTAAATCCCCCTGCTGGGAGCAGGCAGGGGACAGAGGAGAAGACATTCCCACGAAGACACCCCTGCTCAGAATCCACTGTAGAGAGGGGGATTGGAGAGAAGGACAGCAGGGCCAGGAGCAAGGCCTGGCATCTCAGCCTGTGAGCGGTACTCAAAAGACGTGTTTTCAGGAAACTGAGGATGAAAAACCACAGGTGTGTACCGGTCCTCCTGTTTCCCTGACACCCTAGGACAGTAGGCCACTCTAGGACACACTGAAGTCTGAGGACCTTCAAACACTACAAGTGATTCCCGTCCACACTCTCCATAAAGTCCTAACATTGGCTCCCACACCTGCTGGTCCTGACTCCAGCTCACCCCTGGGTTCACTCAGCGGTGAATAAGTGGCTTCGCTCACGGCTAAATTTCCACACATCTCAGAGTTCTCAATTACTCTCTGATTTCCCCATCCAACTTTCACCTCCTCACTCTTTCAGCGCCCTGGGGTACTGTGACCTGTCAAGGTGACCTACAGATTGAGGGGACTGTGATCCTCCAGGGCATCTCAGTTTCAAGTGTGTCCTGCCCAGCCCAGACCTCAGGTCTTACCTCAAAATAAATTCAGGCTCCCAGACACTGCCATTATGATTCTTCACTGAATCCCCAGGGTTGGCTTGGACTCTCTAAAGGCCCATGTACTGTCTCTTTCAGTGATTTTGACTGTGAAAGTCCATCCTGGTACCCTTAAGATATACTTATCTTTTAAGGGCAAGCTGACATCTTAGGGACAAACATTAAGGTCTTCCGGGACACACTGAAACTGGGGGACTTTCCATCCACACCAGATGATTCCCACCTCTCCATAACGTCCTGGCTTCTCAGGGCACCCAACTGGTGACACACGAGTCCCCTCAGAACTCACTGTCTTTATAAGACACTCTGACTCCCAAGATCAGACAGACTTCCTCAAACACATCCCTTAAAACCATCACGACTACTCAAAACAGGATAATCACCACAGTCCTTTTTAAAGATTAATTAACTTATTATTAATTATGTGTGTGTATGCACGCGCACACGTGCATGTGCACATGTGCAGATGACATGGTGTATACATGGAGGTCAGAGGACAATCTGTGGGGAGTGGGTTCTCTTCTTCCAAGTCTCAGGGATCAAATTCAGACCTTCAGGCTCAGCAACAAGCGCCCTAACCCACTCCAGAGGGCGGCAGCAGCAGCAGCATGCAGAAGCTCGTTAGGGTCAACATCTCGGGCCTCACCCCCTACTGCATCAGAACCTGTGACCTAAGAAGACCCACAGCAGAACAGAGTGGACTCTTTGCTCCTGTGAACAGCACTCAGTCCCCACAGATCCCCATTCCCCGTTTGAATTCTACAGGTGCTCCCCCACCCACCTCAGTCAGTGGCAGCTTTGTGGGTTTTGGTGCTGGCTGGTTTGAGATGCAGATCTCCACTCTCCTTGTCTCTCAAATACTTTGTAGAGACGGGGGCTAAATTTTCATTGCCATTAAAAATTTTAATCACTTTAAAAAATGATATGGCCTTATGAAGACTAATTAGAAAGATATCAAACATATAAGGCTACCAGGAAGAGTTTAAAAAATCATAAATGCCATCTCCAAGTGAAAGATACGCTTTATAGGGGCTGGAGACATGGCTCAGCAGTCAAGAGCATTGGCTGCTCTTGCAGAGGACCCAGGTTTGATCCCCAGGACCCACATGGTAGAGCACAATCACCAGTAACTCCAGTTCCAGGGGATCTGATGCCTTCTTCTGGCCCCTAGGGGTACTAGAGACACACATGGTGCACAGACATACATGCAGTCAAAACAGTCATACACATACAGATCAAAATAAAACAAACCTTAGAAACATGTTTTATAATTAGAAAGTGTTTATAAGGGAATTGCTGATTTCTTCTTTTGTGTTTCCGTGGAAAATGCACAGTGAAATGCAAAAATCTTGCTCACTTTCTCTCTAGAAGCTTCTGGTTTTCTGTGTCAGGGATAGATGAACTGTTACAGAAATTAAAACACAGGAATGGCTTCCTATTTTTAGTCATTGCTTTCTTAGTATAAATTAGTAAATCGAACCTTAATCCCAAAGGCTTAGGGGCTATTCAGAAGAAAGTCAAAGCCATTAACAGAGTGTACAGAGCAAAGCCGCTGTGACGTTCTGTGACATTCAATTTCATCAGCTTTCTAATGGACACAGGGCAGGGGACCAGGTATAGTGTGGTGTGATATGGGCCGGAGAGGACGATGAGGGTAAGTAAGACCCAAAGCGGGAACAATCTCTTGTGGCGGAATTTTTTTTTTCCCTGGGAGAATGAACAGAGCTGGCCATATGTCAAAGGCAGGGAAGTCTGGTTTAGTGCTCAGCAGCTGGGTTTCCAGCAGAAGGACCTTTGTGAGAGCAGCAGGCCTGGCGGGGGAGGGGGAGACTAAAATGCAGGCAGCTTAGAAGACCCAGGCTTTCTGGGCCTTGGAGGGGAGCTGGCTTTCAACAAAGCTAAGGTTCCACCCCCTGGGAAGAATGCTTCGCCAACAAGAACCCCACCATTGCCAGCAGCCTCTTTGAATCCTGCAGAGAGGACTAGAACTAACCAGGCTCCGAATCTTGGAACCTTCCCTTTAATTCAGTATGGCCATCCCATAATAACATGAGACTAAGTGATTGTTCTCTTCAGAGAACTCAATCCAAGAATACATTCTGACAGATATTCATGTAAGATTGAATTGGTTTTATAAATATGTACTTGGTAAAAACGAACAGACACTGGATATATTCTGGAATACATTATGGAATCCTAGATTTATGAAATAATAAAGCCATGCAGGGCTGAGAGCATGGCTCAGTTGGTAGGGCTCAGGTTTCAACCCCAGCACCAGGTAAAACCAAGTGTGGTGCTCACGCCTGTAATACCAGCCCTGGAGAGGACGAGGCAGAAGAAGCAGCGGTTCTTGGTCTTCCTTGGCTATCTATGTAGTGAGCTGAGACCAGCTGTATTATGTGAAATCCTGTGTAGAATGATAAAAGGGAAAAAAAAGCTTTAATATCGTGAAATTGAACTTTGTTCACCTTCTGCTTCTTCATATTTCCCGGATGGAGAATCAAATTCAGAAAAACAAGGTTGAATGTCCAAGTTCGAACACCAAAGTGTTCTTCTCATCCGGGGATATATCCAAGTCCAGGGTGTGGGGGGTAAGAACAAAGACTAGTATGCTTATGGCTCTAATGAGGAGCTGTGGGGAGTCAGCCTTTGGGGGCCCTCAGGGTTGGCAACTGGAATCACTCCACCCCTATCCTCAAGGATCTCACAGTCCCCAGGGAGGGAAGGTCTATTTATCGGCCCCAGTTCTTCTAATTCTGACCTGGGAAAGCCCCAGTGTCTTACTAGAGTGGTCTCCTGTGAGAATAAGTCTCAGACTCATCATCCGGTTCAAGCAGGGAATCGACAGATCCCAGAGGAGTCTATAAAGGCATCTGGCAGCAGCAGCAGACAGCATCAGGTGAGAGGGGAAGTTGCGGCACCACCATCTCCACAGCGCACAGGTTCGCACAAGCACATGGGGTGATGGTGGGGAGGACAGCTCACTCCATCCCTCTGCATCTAATCAAGTTCAATCGGTGGGCAGCGGTGCGGGGCTGGGGGAGGGTACAGAGCGACGGTGTGGGGTGGTGTCTGTGTGGTCAGCGGCGTGGGGAAGCATACATGGCGAGGGTGTGGGGTGGTGTCTGTTAGCATGATATGCAGCGGCATCCTCCCTCCCCCCGCCCCCTACCCCGTCAGGGCACACAGTTCACTGCATTCACTAAAGATGGACTGAGAAAGCACTGGCAAAGGATTAGATGGCAGATATGGGATTCTAAAATGCTTGTCCAGAAGCTCGGAGCCACGAGTCACTTTCCACCTCAAAAGACAGACACTCTGCCAGATGTCTAGACTCCCCACTCAGCCCTTACCTCTACCGCACTGCACAGTCTATCCACTGCGCTCTATGGCTATATAACATTGTATCTCAAGTGAGATAACTTAGATCCATGCTGAGCCCCAAAGATGGACATCAGCTGAGCTGGGATAAAAAGCCTTAGTTTTAATGTTAAAGGATGCAAACGCTCCTTGATACAGGCATGCCAGACAGTTCCATGTTTAGAAGCCAGGAGAGACTGGTGCACCAAAGCAGCAGCCAATGTGTGCAAATCATGTAAACCAAATGTTACCGCCCCAGAGCTGGTTGGAACACTCACTCCCCAGAAGAAAGCTGAAGGGGACAGAGCGTCAAAGCATGTCCAGAGTAAGAGGAACTCAGTGCCATACGGCCTTCCAACTAGGGTACCACAATTAGTTGGGGTTGAAGTCTTGAGATGACTAACTAATCTCTCAACCAATTTCAGAAAAACATGCTGGCCAGATCCCATCATTATCAGTCATAGTATATTACA